GGAGAAGTAGCAGAATTGCTTTTATAAATTAAATCTCATATTGAACTTAAATTATGAAGCATATAAATATACAAAAAAATTGATACATATTTTAGTTATAAAGTAACAATTACTGATAACAGTATTTATATTCTCACAGAAATTTAACATGAGCAGATATGTACAGGAATTTTTTTTTAAAGGCCAATGCCTTCATAATTAATGAGAATCTTTCCTGTAGATAACAGCAACAAAAAAGTTTAAATATATGAACAAAGATAATAGAACAAGTTTAATTTAAAGGCCTGCATAAGAATAATCTTGTAACAAAAGATAACTGTGGTATGCTCCAATGTGGTGGATTATGTATATATGTTATAAGCAGCTGTATTATTAAATTTTTAAAATAATTTAAAAGATACTTAAGGGCTGGGGATATGGCTCAAGCGGTAGCGCGCTGGCCTGGCATGCGTGCGGCCTAGGTTCGATTCTCAGCACCACATACAAACAAAGATGTTGTGTCCTCCAAAAAATAAAAAATAAATATTAAAAAAACTCTCTCTCTCTCTCTGTCTGTCTCACTCTTTCTTAAAAAAAAAAGATACTTAAAATTTCAATCCAATTTAAGTATTTTAAAATCCTGAAGCACCTTATAAAGTAGTCTGAAAACCACTGCATAAAACTTTGCTGTCATAAATTCATTGTTTGATTTCTTCTTAGGTTATTTAAGATAAAAATCAAGTAAAAAACTGCTTTTGACAATCAAAACTGTATAACCCAAGAAACCTGATTAACCAAAGCAGAATAAATTACTAGTCCATAGTATAAGTAAACCCATTCTATTGGTTGAAATACATAAAATTATTAATATTTAATAAACTTCCTAATCTAAATTTTTCAAATTTGACAGTATCTATGCTTACAAAACATTAAAGTGTTGTCAAAATTTGTGATTTTATAAAGAAAATTAAAAAGCATAATAATCACACAAAGATATATCACTAGAACTCCTACACATACCAACAAATTTTAAATGTTAGAGTAATAATAAGAGTTCAATACTCAAAATACATTTTGAGTTGTAATATACCAACTTTTCTTTACTCGAAGATGACTGCACTGACAATTACCTACCTTCCTTAGTTTCACATTTCACTTTTCAAATTAAAGGATCAGATTCATCTCAGTGTCACTGGAATTTCTTCAAGTAAAATATGTCACATTTCAAAACTTGTTAACCTTACAAAGTAAATAGAAGAATTTCCTGTTTCATTAAAAACTTTATTATACTATGTGACAATGGAGTAAGTTAGACTTAATAGGAGTTTTGAATATGATGATAGTTTGTTCATTTGTTCCTAGAGATAAGTTAGTACCTAAGTTATAAATTTGGTACATTTAATATTTAAGAAGATACTGAATCAAATTTGTAAGGACACGTCTACGAATAAATATGATTCTCATCCAATATAAAATTGAATATTCAAGTACTGGATTAAAACAAATAGGTTTACTTGATTGTGAATTCAGTTCTTTTTAAAGTTTCTCCCAAATTAAACATATTGCCACAAATTTTTGTCATATAAAAAGGTGACCTTTCCCTCATTATTAATGAGGGTTTATAACAGCAAAGTATAATTTCCACTAGATACACATGATTTTCATTCTTCCATTGTAAGCTACACTGAACTAAAATTAAAAGTGCTATGATCCATTTGTTTATTAGTGTACAGTCCATTAGTGGAAAACACAAGATAAACTCACAGAATCACATTTTTTTGAAAGTGATAGATGAATTTTACTTACATTCTATCAAAAAGAAAAATATGCCCTTATTAGAAAAAAACCCTTACATGCTATTTTTAGAAGGATGAAAAATTTAAATTGCTAGACACTGATTTAAGAGTACTTAAGAAGGGCAATCTTAAAAAGCTACAAATGTTGCCAAGTCATGTCATAACTGGCACAAACAATTCTATTTCCATCTAAATTCATTTCATGCTACTACATGAATCAACATTAAATACCTTGTAGTTACTAAAAACTGGAGTATTGGCAGAGATGTGCATAGCAATTATAAAATATAAAAATGTTCACATCCATTTTCCATATTTTCTCAATAATGTCTAAAAATGAAGATGTTCTTTCTAGGTAAACAAATACTAGTTTTTAACAAACTAAGAGAAATAAATAAAGATGTTTTAACTAGTAAAATGCCATGGATCCATAGCCACAGTTTTCTCAAAAGAAAAATAAAATAGTTTGAAGCCCAATATCACCTTCAAAGCTTTTGTTAGCCTAACAAATTGCCATAGGCATTAAAAAATCTTTTTTCAGTCAATAACAGTACATCTTTTTCTTATTTGATTAAAAAAAAACTTGCTGTCATTTTAACTAAGCTTAAGTTTAATCAAAATATGTCTTAAAGACATATTTTTTATGTCAAAGACAACCTTTCACTTTTAAAGTAAGGGAATAATATTTTTTAAGAACTAAATTCAGATGACAACTGGCCCTGCAGTGAAAGAGTTAACATTCAACTAACCTGATCTGCACTTCTGATCCATTACATTTCTCACAAGCTGCCCTACAATGAGCTGAGCAAGTATCAACTGTAATTTGATCCCGAAGTTTATGGAAAAAAATAACTGCACATACTCAACATGCACATTTAATAAAAATCTGTTTCAAGAGAAACATATCCAATAAACACAATTTAAGGCATATTTAATTCTTTGATTAACTTCAAATCTGCAATCTCTTTGCTTTCCTCAAGCTCTCAAATAAAATAGGAGGGAAAAAAAAAAAAAAAAAGCAGCAGCCCTACTGCAGGGAAAAGAGGCTTGAAAAACAACTTTGATTGGCACTTGGCCTGACCCACAGAGGAAGAAAAACAGTTTTTGGACAAAGAGCGCAAATATTTGAGCTTGCTTACTTATGTGCTTTCTTGCTTTCTTTCTTTCATATATAAAGAACAATCCCAAAGCGACTGTATATAGAGAAATTGTGTGCGTGTGTGTGTGTGTGTGTGTGTGTGGCAGGGGGGAAGGGTACCATATTCATTTTAGCTCTCAGACCCGGTGCATTTGCACAGCTCAGCAATTTTAATTCATTTGTACTGGACAAACAGAAACATCTCATCTAAGGTTTCCACTTAATGCAATGCAAAAAATAAGAGTTTGGAGAAGAATAAACTGATTATAATATTACTCGTGGAGGCAGTTAAAATCTAATTTTAAAACTCTTTTCATCTCCTTCTTCCATCTTATCCTCCCCATCCCCCACGGAGTGATTAAGCCAAGTAAGCTAAACAATACTGGAGTAAACTTTCTATCAGTCCCTATGGGAAGCATTAAGCTGATGGTGCGTCTGATTTTTCTGGATCAACACGGGGTGGGGGTGCTAAGGAGGGAGACAACCCATGTCCACCTCAGTCTTCTCCTGTAACCCCACCAGAGGAACTGTAAGGTCGAACAGCATTTCCCATGGGCATAAAGTTCAAGATGCCTTAATAGTTCCTTCGTGACTGAAGTATAGACACAGGACTACCATCAAAAGAATGTGAAAAGGGGGAGTCCGGCACGGCGCGCAAAGCAAAGGCAACAGAATAAACAAAAACAGCACCCATCAGAGTTAGCCACAGCAGAGAGGGAGCCAGGGTTCCTCAAGACCAGACCAGGCTGCTCTGATTTCATCCCAACCTCCATCTACGGCTAAACTGCACAGGGAGGAGGCTCCAACCAGTCCCTCCCTCAGTCTGACCGAGGAGCAGACCGGGGATAGCCAGGTATGGAGGCGAGCTGAAAACAGACCACAGGCATCCCCCCACCCCCAAATCCCAACCCCTCGGGACTAGCTTCTGTCCCGGTGGAGATAAAAAGCAGCAAACGCCCGAACCCTCCACCCTCAACTCAAGCCCCCTGTTTCTGTCTCCGTGCATGAACCAAGCCAGGGATCTTTTTGAGCCTCGCAGGGACGATGCCAGCGATCCCTTCGAGCCTCGCCCCGAGCAGCCCGACCCCGGCCGGCAGGCGCCCATCTCCGGCCGGACCTCAGGCTAAGCCCGTACCTTCCGCAGCACTTTCCGGCAGTTGGTACAGAGCAGGTAGTTGGCGGCGGCCGACGGACTGCTGCCGCCTCGGTTCATGGTGGCTGCGGGCGCCGAGGGTGAAGGCTAGGGCGGGCGGCGGGTCGGGCCGGGCTGTCACTGCCGCCAGTCGCGCAGATGCAGGGCCGGACCGTCCCCCGGCCGAGCTTCAGCCTCAGCTTCCTCCGCGCGGGATGTCGAGATGGAAGGCAGCGGCCCGAAAGCCAAGCCGGGGTGCGCGAGGCGACCACCGGCGACGGCTGTCGGAGCGACGGCGGAGACGGCGGCGGCTGCTCCTCACCGGCCCGTTGTTCCTCCCGCCCCCATCCTCAGACCCCCGCCCCCGCCAGCCTAGGACGAGCAGCCGCCACCACAGCCGCCGCCGCCGCCGCAGCGCCTCAGTGCGGGCCCCGCCCCCGCCGTCCCACCACCTTCACCACCTCCACACTCCGGTACCGCCCCCTCCCGCTAATCGGACAGCTCTAGTCACGCCCCCGGAGAGCTTGGCCGCAGCCAATGAGCTTCTAGGGCTCGGCTGAGAGCCTCACCGGCCAATCGCAGAGGCCGAAAATGCCTTGAATCTCCGGGCAAGTTAAGTTTATCTCCGAGGCTCAGAACCGAAGGGAGATGGCGGGTTAGGTAGTGGGGTGGGAGGGAATACAATGTGCACGGCTCCGCCAATAAGAAAAAGAGGGTGTGTTATATGCAAATAACACTGGCAGATCAGCTCCACCCCCTAGTCAAGCCACGCCCCTCTCCTAGGTCCCTACAGAAATGGTGAGGAAAGTGAGATAAATAGCTGGAAGCTAGAGCTCGCTAGAGGGTCTACGATTGAGCTAAACATTTTCTGATTTCTGGAGAAAGGGGTGGTGTGGGGGTGAGAGAAGGGTAGATATTAAAACGTTCCTTCCTTCGGGGCAGTGGTGGGCTTTCCCTCAGCCAAAAATCTAAGCTTAGCTCTAAAGGAGGCTGCAGTCTTGATGCACTTTGCATCCAGAGATCTCAAAGAACTTTATGCGTCATTTATTGTGAGACTTGTGTAAAAGACTAATTAGTTACCTGAGGCTTGAGAATGGGATGGGGGTAGATGTCTGAGGCATATTTATACAATAATCCAGTTGGTGGGGGAGGGGGGAGACATCTCTGGTTTAGCAGTTTCCGCTTCTTCTCTGAAGCACCTTCTCACAGTACTCTTAGCAGTGAAAACACGAAATGGCCAAAGAGAGGTTTTGCTTCTTACTCCAAAGTCCATTCTTAAGCAGCTGGTCAGATACATGCAGAGCACAGAGCCCTGCTTGGGAAGGTAGCTTCGGAGAACAAATTGCCACCTAAAACGATTGGGCAGGACCAGCTTCTCCCAAAGCTAAAAATGGTGAGTCAGGGGTTTTACGTCCACTCTGAGGCAAGAAGGCAGATGTAACAGCTGAAAGCTCTGGCTGACAAGGTGCGGAGGGACAAACAAATGCGGGTGCCAGGTATACCGAGGGGGCCAGCAACGCGCGTGCGGGCAGAATGCGTATTGCGGATGATAGACGCCCGAAACCTGCTCCCCAGTGAGAACAAAGGCAGGAGCTGAGCAAGAACCTGATTGGTGCCGGGTGCTCACCGGTGACCGCCGGGCCCCGGAGATAACTCGGATTGCCGGCTGGCGCAGAGCTCGGTGCTCTTTGGAGCCGCAGCTCCCCACGCGGCCTTGGCAGTGATCACACAGGAGTGTGCGTTATGACATCACCTGTTTTCGCTTTTTAGAACCTGATCAGTATTCTTGGCTTCTCCTCTTTTAAAGGTCTCTAGTGTACCAGGATTTGTGCAGGCCTGCAGTTCGTAGAATGAATCTGTTGGAGATGATTTAAAAGAACCGTTCCACTGGTTTGCATTTCTTTTTATTTTTAATTTTAAAAAACTATCGTGGCTTCCTTAGGGATTCGGTGTGTTGTGATGCAAAATCAGGAAGGTACACTTGGAGGAGCTAGCAAGTTTAGCATATCAAAGCTATTAGACCAAATTGCGTGTTTATAACTGCCAATCCCCTCATTTCTCAACAGCTGTCTCCACTCTCCCTTTTAGAGACTAACACGTTAAACCAAGTCTACACAAGGAACAAAGGAAATGAAAATCTGCTGGTGTCAGGTTTATATAGATTAAATTAGACTGGAAAATCCCCAAACGGTCTAAGTTTTGTGGTTGGGTAAATGTCTCGATCCATTTAGTTAGTGATTGCTGAAGGTTGCTTGATGATTGTGTAGACCTACATAACCTAGAATAGCAATGGTGTGGGAAAGGTGCTTAACATTCAGTTAGAAGAAGAAACTGTAAAAGCAAGAAAATTTATCGGAGGGAGAAATTACCACATGCCCTTCAGTGCAGAGAACCAAGAAATCCAGGCAAAAAGTCAGCAAGGCACAGTTTTTCCAAGAACTAAAACACATATGTGTCCTCATTTAGTGGTAAATTTCTTGGGCTATATTCCTGGCTTGTTCTGTCTTTTAAAGCATATTTTATATGAGTACATTTTAGAAGGAAGGAGAGTTGATGGATGAAGTGAATTTTTGTACACAGTTTGAATTTTCTCAAATAGTGTTTTAACTTCAAATTATTTTCTAATATGTTCTTTTTATAAGTTTTTTTCGCCTAACAGCTCAAACCCTTTGCAAAGAGGTCTTTTAAGTTCTACAATAACTAAATTCCCAATAAATGATAGGCAAGAGGGCCAGTCCTGCACAATTATGCCCTCTAACAAAGATGACCAAAAGGGAAGTTTTAGGGCCTGAATATCTTCAGTGATACCTGGTCAGATACCTGAGGGGTTCTGTCCACTACAACGCTCCTCCAAACTTTAATAACATCTTTTTAGTGCTCTTCATTTGGCTATTAATCAGGTAGTGCGTCAGGACAGTTCTTAATTTCCATCCTTTCAATTCTCAGTGCTGGTAACTCATTCTCAGTACACAGCAGCTACCCTTTCCGGTCTTCACACCCTCAATTCTCACTGCCATCATATTTGTTCCCTCTCCTGGGAGAATCCAGCGTCTGGACACTTCCTCACCTGGTCTTCTTTCAGGTCCTGGCCAGCATGGATACAATCATGAGAATGTGACTTAGTAAATGATTTGCCCCAAGTCAAGATCATTGATAAGAGGAAAAGAATTGAAAGTAAATTCCTTTGATTTCACACAAAACAAAGAGAAACTCCTCCCATTTCATTTTCTGGTATGTCTAAAACAAGGAAGAACTTTAGAAAAATAGGATATGGGTGAAAATTATAAACAAGGTTGAGAGCTTTTTGTTTTTATTACAATTAGGATGACACTTCATGAAACATTTTACATCATTTTGAAATCTATTTCATATTCATTTTTGCTTGCTTTGAAATATTATTTCAAACTGTGATTTTTTTTTTAATGAGGAATACATAAAATTGCTTGATGATTGTATAGACCTATGGCTTGGACATACCATAAGTTTGTTTAACCATTACTCATTGATGAACATGGGGATTTTTTCTGACTATAATAATGCTGTGATACCCTTCCTCATATATAAATTTCTGGCAGCATCTCTGATTCCTAGACTTGCAATTTCTGAGTAAAAAGGTATGAATATATTTTAAGGCTCTTGGGTGACTTGCTAAAAATATTTTGTGAAATGGTTTGAAAAAGAACATAGGAAAAAGCAATCATTTGAAAACACAAATTTTATCTGTCATTCTCCTGCATAAGGTCATTAATATTCCACCTACCTCTGCCTCTAATGCCTTTCCCCTCCTTCTGCTTGGTAATTGATTTTCTTTTGCTGTTCAATGATTTCATGATAGAGTCAAGCATCAGTCCAAGTATCCATGGAGAGCCATGCTTCTTCTTTACCAACAAACTCACTACCGAAACGATTGGTGTAAACTGTTTTCTCTTTAGGCTTTGAACCCCTGGAGGGCAAGGAAGGAGTCACATTTAGTTTGTATGCTTGGCTTCTAGCTCAGCCTGCAGCTAAGTCCTTAAAAAATGGATAAAATCATGAATTAGCGCTCTTACTTTTCTAAATAAACCATACATTCTTTCAGGGTCTCTCTAATAACAGATATTGAATCTTATAAAATGATTCTGATAAACATTTATGAATAGAATTGTTTATAAAAACTACTTCTGTGAAGCAGAAAGATTGAGTTAATGTCTTTGTCACTGATGCTCTTTGTTACATTAAATATTGGTGATTATGGCTTGTGGCTTACTATCTCTTTTTTAAAATGAAGTTCTTAGCACAAATTAGGGATATAGGGAGGACTGAGGGAAAATTTTTATGTTCAGCTCTTTTGAAAGAAGATATCCAGTCAATCATATACTGTGACTAAGGATTTGAATTGTTTACTTTCTAGACACTCTCATTCTATTGACCTAAAAACTGGGACCCCCCTATATTTCCTAAGAATTTAATGGAGAAAATCAATTACTAAAGATACTTTTAAAATTTCATTTCTTGGGACAATAGGTTATTTTCCTAGCATTTTGCTTTTTTAAATTTGTTTTTCTTTTTCTGGGGAAACCCAATACATTCAGGAAAAAGTGCTATACTGTTTACAAATTTGCAAATACTGTAATTTATTTCTTGCCCAAAGGAATTTGCACTTCACACATTTGTAAATTGATTCCTACCTTAGAGCTGTTAATTAGGTTCTTGCTATTTTTCCTTATGGCCCAAGACCAATACTACTCCAAAGGGGGAAAGAAGAGGATCAGCTCCAAAAAGGCCACTGGTTTATTTAGTTCCCATTCCCATTCCACCCCTCAATCATCCACCTCCACCACATAAATTATTCTAACCAAAGTACATTTTTCAAAAAACAAATATTTCACTAAGATCCAAATTCTTTTCAGCCTTTTTAACCTGCCATCTCAGATTTTTCTGACTTCACCCATTATAAGACAGGCTACAAATAAAAGTCCTACAGATGTGAAGTTTGTTTGTTTGTTTGTTTGTTTGGCCTGCAGTGTCAGCTGGTTTAGTGCTTTTTAAAAATGAACTGCTTTAATATGGAGATTCCTTGGAAATCTGGGAATGGAACCACCATTTGACCCAAGCTATCCCTCTCCTCAGTCTATACCCAAAGGACTTAAAAACAGCATACTACAGGGACACAGCCACATCAATGTTTATAGCAGCACAATTCACAATAGCTAAACTGTGGAGCCAACCTAGATGCCCTTCAGTGGATGAATGAATAAAAAAAAAAATGTGGCATATATACACAATGGAATTTTACTCAGCAATAAAAGAGAATAAAATTATGGCATTTGCAGGTAAATGGATGGCATTGGAGAAGATAATGCTAAGTGAAGCCAGCCAATTCCAAAAAAACAAATGCTGAATGTTTCCTCTGATATAAGGAGGCTGACTCATAGTAGGGTAGGGAGGGGGAGCATGGGAGGAATAGATGAATTCTAGGTAGAGCAGAGGGGTGGGAGGGAAAGGGAGGCAGGGGGTTAGCAAGGATGGTGGAATGTGATGAACATCATTATTCAAAGTACATGTATGAAGACACGAATTGGTGTCAACATACTTTAAATACAACCAGAGATATGAAAAATTGTGCTGTATATGTGAAATAAGAATTGTAATGCATTCTGCTGTCATTTATTTTTTTAAAAAATCAATTTAAAAAGCAAATAAAATAAAATAAAAATGAACTGCTTTAAAATATTTACAATTTAGGAGATATGCTTATACCAAAAATCTAGATTTTTTTTTAAATTGTCAGATCTAGTCACCCTGGGTTCATATTCCCACCTGGCAACCCTTTGTTGCTCTCAGTATCTGCTATTCGGTTTGGATGTGCACTTTCTACTTTACTATTATCCCTGACACACCCTGGCATTACATTCTTGCTATTTTATTTGTATTATTTTCCCTAACCTTAGTATGGATTTGAGTTTGCTACTTCTATAAACTTTCCCCAGTATCTAAATTACATATCTGTTCATATTTATTCATAATTTTATCATAGAACATAAATTAAAAATGAATTTGTCGTCTCTTGACCATTGCAAAAGTTGAAGAAAGGGGTCAAGTGAAAGGAACATCATGGTGTATGATGATGGCAGGTGCCCTGATTTTAGGTATACACAGTATGTATATCAGAATTGCCAGGACAGGGCCTACTATTCTTTATGCTGCTATCCCCATTCCTGATCCTAACCCTGTCCACATGCCCATTCCAATTGTTGCTTTAAAAGAAAGAACCATAGGGAATGGATGTGGCAATAGTGGAAGGTCAAGGAAACCATGGCAGGTGCATTGAGGATATTTTTTTTTTGATGGGCAGTATCACATAGAAGCTAAGAGCCCAGACTTTGGGGTCAGAGATGAATCAAATACTTACTT